GGGTCAATTTCGAGCGGTCAATGCTTCGAACACCTGCATGCAAAGTTGGGTCCACGGTTTCCAATATAACTTATCACCTGTCATTGCTTATCATTACAGGGCTTTGTAAAAGTAGGTGTATCCTTCGAGCCTGCGCAGAGGATTTTTTAAGTGAGGCTCAGGTACGCGGAAGTGGTTCCACTCTTCCTATGGTTATCTGCCACGACTTAACAAGCTTTGACGATGACGATGACAGATCTTAGGTTTAGTTAAATTGTCCTTCTCTTAGAATCTAAGACTTAAATGGATGGTCTTACAGGGCTAAAGCAGCTCCATCTGCTCGGGTTTGGGACCACAGTTGTCCTTTTCCTGGAGTGGTTTCCCTGAATGTTAGCGAGCCCATCCTGCCTGACCTATCTGGCATGAGAAGCTCTATTGGAGGCATTTGCACCGTCAGCATAGCTCGCAATCTCACAAGTGTGCGCGAGCTTCTCCCCGTAACAAGGAGATGTCTCCCCGTAACTTCCCCCGTAACAAGTGGAAATCACTGTACTATCGGCATTTCATTCATATTTCTGTTAAGAATCTTTTCGGGAATTGTTTTGCAGATGTTTCAGTTGTAAAGTTTGATTTCGTTTTTTTTTGATTGTTTGGGAATATCGCATTTCTGAAATCAAATCTTTCCGAGATCCCAAAATCTTATTGAACCCTAGTCGGTAACTAGAAAGAGGAATGAGCAAAGATGTGATGGCGCATTCTACAGCCGATAAAAAACGTAATAAAAATCTGGGAGCACTCTCTGATAGATTCCGACTTTATAATGATTGGTGTCATAGATCACCATTCATTTAGCTGCAATGTATTCATTTAATTGAGGAAAGGAATTTATGCTTCGTTAAAAAAAATCATTTGCAAGTGAATTACATTCATTCATTCCATTCGAAATTAAACAAAAATTTGTATAATTTCCAAAAAACTACAAAAATTGCAATTCTTCCAAAGAAACACTGCAAAAAAAATTTTGGAAGAAGGAATACAGAAAATATGCATACAGGTAAAGGTATTATTTTACTTGTAGAATATATGGATGAAATGATACCTTCCAATGAATAATGAAGAAAAAATGGAGCAATGGACCAAATTGCATGACATTTACGAATTGTACTGATCCATTTGTCATTTCTCTTTGGAAGACAGAAGATAAGTTTTCTGCTGTACAAGGAATGATTTTTCCGGAATATTTTTGGTCAGGGAATTTCGTTTTTGCAGTATATGCACATATATTGCAAAGATCAACTTGAACCACTTCACATTACCCAAATAAGGGAGATAAAAAAATTAGAGCGGGAATGTTGTGATAATCAAGAAATTAAGCAATTGCCCAAAATTACATTATAAACGAATTTAATGGTTGCAAGGAATATTTGTTGATGAGAATTTAGATATCATTATATTTTGGGATTCATAAATTCTTGTTTTGGAGTGCATTTTAATCTACGATGGTTAGTCAAAGTTATCCCTTAATCCTCCGCCTCTTTCAATGTGAAAACAGTAGTTAGCATAAAATCTTTTGTAAATGAACTACAAAATTAGGCTGATCAATATATATATATATATATATATATATATATATATATATATATATATATATAGTAT